ATCAGAATAAAGCATATTCATTTCAAACTTATCTTTCTTGCATTAGATATCCAAGTTTGTCCTTGCCTTGAAAGTAGCATTACATGCTACATCTAGCAATAATTCCTGAGGTTAAAACTCAAACTAGCATTGATTTTCAACCCTGTTTCTTTCAACCCTGTTACTATAATTAGAGTAACAGGAGTAATTATTCATTGGAAAATATACATTTGATGCCTAGCTGGGCAAAGCACTTTTTTTGATGGTTTATTATCTGTTTTTCCTAAATACATAAAAAATAAAAAATAAATAAAAGGTTCATTTTTCAAAAATGTTGATGTCTAAATTGTCCTCCAATTCTGGAATGACCCATAAAATGCCTTGCTTTGGGTTTTACTTGCTTAAGGTTTTGTTTCTTGAGTTTCTCTGGATAATGAAGACCTTGCTCCATGTAAAGTAGCTTTATATGAAACTAAGGGAAATTGTTAGTAGGAACTGGGCTGAATGAGTCTTGAGATTATCCTGAGAAACAGGAGATTAATTGTTGCATGATGTGCCAATTACTACATTTAAGGTGTTTTGAACAGCACAAACTTGATCCCAGTAACCTTGTATTATACCTGGCTTCTGTCAAATATTACAAAAACTCTTAACACATTAAAAACTGAACTATTTATTGATAGACATTGAATGTTTTGGGTGACTAAACCGTTAAAATGCTGCTACAGTGTAGATGGTAACTATTCTCATTGGCTTGTGGCGGATATTACAACACTTAAAAAAACATTAAAACTGAATCAATACCTTGCTAGTTATGAAATGTTATTTTGAGCTTTTTTTGAGTAATCTATGAACTTGCTGCTATTTTTGTAGATGGTAACTGGTCTCCTTTTTATCAGGAAAGCCTGTGGCGACATGGAGTGGTGCATGACCCAGCAAAGAGAAAAGGTAATGCATCTTTTTAATTTATTTTTTATAGTAAATGTTACTTTTCTCCGCTCCATGTTGTCCTTGTATTATAATTATTGGTGTGTTTCCCTTGCAGAGACTGCTTCCGAAGAAGACCCAGCCCTGGCATGTTTCAAAGCGTCTCAAAAAGGCAGAAGGAGAAACCACCAGGCTCACTGCACAAGGCAAACGGTTTATTTGGTTTTTGGTTTGTCTTTTTGACAAACCAAAAACCAACAAACTCTGAGGCTTCATTATATAAATATCTGGTTGCGCGTGTTCACATTATGATTTTCTGTGTATAGTTTTTTTTCTGGAAATATGAAAATAAAGCCTCCTTAACACAGCAATATCCTAGTAAACTGCCTCTTGCTCATTAACAGACAATTCCCACTTGCCCAGTTAAAAAGCACGCTGTAGAGCCATTAATCCTTCGAAGGAAATGTTTATTAAACAAACGGTATACACATTCACACACATGTATAAAACTCCAGCTGATGGGACAGCTGGTTGTCATGGTGATGAGGCCTAAGGGCAGTCGAGATCCCCCCCCCCCCCCCAGGGTGCGGCAGGTTTTCTAATAAGGCCCGAGGCTTATTCAGCTGGATGGTGCTGCAGAGCATCATGATTACAAGTCATTATCCTAGATGGTGGAGGATCATGGCTAATTTTACTTTAATATGTCTACCATGCATCCACCTGAATACAGCGACTGCCTGGTGAGGTGAACACAGAGCCTGCAGTACCATGTCCCCCCTGCAGGAGTGATAACAACATGACCATATGAGCACAGCAGTGTGTGAGAGTCTGTCAGGTGACATGGCACGCTCCGGATCAGTTCCCACCTGGTCCTGCTGGGTCTACTACAGTTCTGGATGCTTTTGGTCCTGGATTAAGCCCGGTATGGAGGGATGTACAGTAGTGTGTACCAGTTCACTTTGGCCAAGGTCGTTCCCAATATAGAAACATTCTGTGTGGTGTGGTTTTGGCCGCGACTACACCAGGCTGCCGGGCCAGGAGACCACAGTGAGCGCCACGCGGCTGCGCTGCTCCTTCAGCATGGGCACCAGCGCCGAGTGGCTCATCCCTGCTGTGGACAGGCCGTTCACTGCCACGATCATGTCTCCACACCTAGAGAGACAGGTCAGTGGGGATTATAAACAGGACCTGACAGCGAGGAGGGAGGTGCCTTTCAAACAGCTCTGTTACAGAACATCATGTGAAGACATTTGAAAAGACAGGAAGCTTGAAATTACAGTTAAATGGGCCTTATTCTGCACATTGTCCGGTTCATATCAGTATGTAGTGTCTCTACTTTAAAGAGTCCTCTCCTGCTGATGTTCAGGTGTATATCAGTATGTAGTGTCTCTACTTTAAAGAGTCCTCTCCTGCTGATGTTCAGGTGTATATCAGTATGTAGTGTCTCTACTGGGACATGTCTCCATGCTTTAATGTTCAAAAAGCTCTTTATTTTTCTCATACTGCCTGTGCTGCAGCACCTCTTTTCACCCTCTGTCTGAAACCAGAGCCCAGTCTGCTCTGATTGATTAGCTGGCCGGCTCTGTTGTGATTGGTCAACCGCTTAAAGATGTCCCGCCCCTTAGCCTATCATGTACAATATGTTGGAGCGCTAGCCAATAGAAGAGAAAGTGTTACTTAGTGATGACATGTGCGTTGTTCTTCGTGGTTTATCATAACGCCACTCTTACAGGATTGATCACCAACTGAAGGTCACGGTTTATCTACCTACTCATGCTAACAGAAGCCACAGACAGTCACATGATGAACTGATCACTCACTTAAGGCGGCCGTCGTAGTACGCAGGTGTGCCGAGGACGATGGTCTTGATGAAGAACGCCTGGTTGCCGTGGGTTTCCTCGTATCCCCCCACAATGCTGAAGCCCCAGCTGCCCGGGTGGCTCCTCCGCAGGACGATCTCATGACTGCTGTGCAGGAGGCTGCAGGGAGAGAGTAGGCAAAGACGATGATTCATCTCCTAAAACTTCTACTTACAAATACTTTCATTACTCATTACTTTGCCTTTCATCTCGATTAATCGTCAGGTCTATAAGGTGACAGAAAATAGTCAATAATGTGTTTAAATGTTACGTTTTGTCAGTCTGAAACCGAAACATATATTTAGTTTATAATGATATATATCAAAGAGAATCAGGAAATCACCATACTTGGGAAGATTTTTTCAAATTTCTCGTTCATTTTGATTTCTGTTAGGCAATGAAACCTTGCAACTAACTGTAAATGTCAAACTACAAAACATTTAAATAACCAATCAGACTGAAAAAGACAAACCCTGAATGTTGACCTGAACAGACAGTAATTAATGCACTGATATATTGATTTGTTTTAATCAAGCGACAATTTATCTTGACATATATTTCAGATGATATCGTCCCAGGTGTTCAGATGTGCCCACCTGGGTAGTCCGAGCCACATGACCCACGATGGAGACCAGTTAGCATCGAAGTCGCTGTCGTGTGTGTGAGGCAGCAGCTCGTCGCGGTCCTGCTCCTCCACCACCATGCTGACCTCCAGCACCCGCAGCTGGACGGAGGGCGAGGCGGCGCTCGCCTTCAGGGTGCCCACCGCCTCGCTGTGGCTCAGGTACGTCAAGTCCTGCCCGTTGATGCTCAGCAGCACGTCACCTGGAGGAGGAGGAAGAAGACGCTGTAGTTTGAGTCAGCATTCACAACACACTGTATGGAGGAGATACTCCATATGGAAAGACTCGGAATGAAACAATCAGGACTTGAAAATAAACTGTTTAAATGGACTACCGATAAGACCCTTCATTAAGCTACTATTGATCCGAACCCTGACATGGTCTATGTAATGTATATCCTTTTTGACCTCTCTGACACTTTGTTTGTATTGTAGTTCATGAAAATAATAAAATCTATGTTTAAAAAACTATACTGTACGTTCTGCCCCATATTTTTATTGGCATATTGGCCCCCCTCACATAACTAACATACAGCATTCCCACCGCAATTTCCTCAGGACTTGCATATTCTAGTTTCTGATGTTCTTGATCTGAATTGTTCCTGTTCTTGTCGTTTCTAAAGGGGGTCGCTCACCTCGTTTGATTCGCCCGTCCCTCGCCAGGCAGCCATGTGGTTGGACGCTGGTCACAAAGATGGGCAGCTCCCCGCTCTTACTGCCCCGCCCTCCAGCCACCGTCATACCCAGAGACTCCAGGGGCTCCTTCTTCACCGTGATGTGTTTCTCCTTACAGGTCACACACTGGGAGAGGTCCTGGGGACACACAGGTACAGCTTTCACTCATGTCCAAACAAAAATCAACCATATTTATCTAAAAGAACTGCTTAAAATCACTGCACGCTTACGCACGCTTACGCACGCTTACGCACGCTTACGCACGCTTACGCACGCTTACACACACACACACACACACGNNNGCTTACTCTGTGGGTGGTGGAGCGGGAGAGGGTGGTGGGCACAGGGCTCGGGGTGCAGCTGTGGTTAGGCAGGAAGTGATCAAGGCAGTAGAGGTCTCGGGTGGAGCTGGATTTAGGCGGTGAAGGAGAAGCCGGTTTGGCGGGTCGGCAAATGGTGAGGTGGACTCGCTCTCCGCTGGCCTGGGGAGACACAGTTTTATGGACTCTATACACCTCTGTTGTGCAATATTACTTATGTGCAGTATATATATACCACTTTGTAATTATTATTTGTAGTGTTTTGTGATTTTTTACATTTATAACATTACACAAACACAACCAAACATTCCCCAACATTAGACATAATGGCAGATTACAAAATAATGCAAAAAGTTTAAAAAAGTGTGCAGTTAAATATAATTACATTTGCAAATGAACTAATTCAACAAACATACAATAAAAGCACATCCACAAACAGAGCAGAGTACAGCTTACAATTCTCCAAATAGATTAACCATATTCAACATTTCCTCACAGTGGCTCTTTACTTTTGCTGTAACAATGTAAATGTCCCCTCTCTGGGACGTCTAAAGGTGTTCTGATTCTTTGTTCTTCCTGTTCTTAGTTACTTAAAGAAAGAGCAAAAGAAGCACCTGTATGATCTGTGCCGCCTGCTCCGGGGTGCCGTGCCGGAGGTCCTGCTCGTTGACCGCCAGCACCCGGTCGTTGCTCCTCAGCCGGCCGTCCTTCGCCGCCAGGCCTCCGTCCAGCAGGTCCAGCACAAACACTCCGGATTCATCCGTCCGCCGCACCAGCTTGATGCCCAGCTGCTCCGCGGAGTCCCTCTTGTTCAGGGTGATCCTCAGGGTGGCCGGGCTGGAGGGGGCGCCCTCAGGGGTGGAGCAGGGGGCGTGGGGAACAGCGGGGGTGGAGGAGGAGGAGGAGGAGGGAGGCGCCCTGGAGGAACAGCGCCGCTCCCTCAGCACCGTCAGCTGCAAGGTGCTGCAGGGCCGCGCCAGGGTGGAGCGGGCGAAACTGTGGGGGACGTTACTGATGTCCACATTGTTCACCTTGAGAGAAAACAGGTCAGAGGAAAGGATGGGCATTTCATCTTTAAACATGCATTCATTTGTTGGTTGATATGAGCATTCACATTTGAAGTCTTCTGTTTCTGGCTATCTGACAAATAACTCCAATATTCACTCGCAGATAAGCTTGGGTTTGCTCAATCTACTGAGACAATGGTTGTCTTTTAAGCTGCTAAATGTGCTCAAATGCTCCTTACAATCGAGGTACTGCCAAACTGGTTAACCATTTTCATCCTATTTCTCACAACGTACATATAAGTAGTCGTAACATGCATTATTCATATACAAATGTTGATTATGGCAGCCTTAATAGGTAGAACAATAGAAAAAAAGGTTATTTAGTGGAAGGATATTTGGCTAAATATAGAAAACATCCCAATAAATAATTCAGAAAATTACTTATCAAATGTACAAAGCTATAAACTGATTGTACTGTCTGCCATAACAGCTAAAGTTAACATGAGTGAAAACAAGCACTGATAGTTAAAGTGGAGCTTCTTGTGTGTTTGGTTTTACCTGCAGGATCTGATCCCCGGCCAGCAGCCTCCCGTCCCGTGCGATGACTCCGTCTCTGTACACTTCCTGGATCACGACGTTGATGAGCGGCGTCTCGTTCCCCCCCACCACGCTGATGCCCAGCTCCACGTACGGGTTCGCCCGGTGGACCTCGATGGAAGTTATCTCTCCTTCAGGAAGCGAAGGCAACTTCACACAGCCTACATGGACAAAAACATCACATTACAAAGCTGAATCTCCAAATTCATCCTTATGTAGCCTGGATGTGATTATCCTGTCCTATTATTCAGCCCTGCAGAGGTGGAAGAAGAACTCATGATCATGTCTCTTCTACATCACCATGTGTCCCCTCTTCTTCATGTCTCTTCTACATCAACATGTGTCCCCTCTTCTTCATGTCTCTTCTACATCAACATGTGTCCCTCTTGTGTCCCCTCTCTTCATGTCTCTTCTACATCAACATGTGTCCCCTCTTCTTCATGTCTCTTCTACATCAACATGTGTCCCCTCTTCTTCATGTCTCTTCTACATCAACATGTGTCCCCTCTTCTTCATGTCTCCCCTCTTCTTCATGTCTCTTCTACATCAACATGTGTCCCCTCT